CAGACCTTATAATTAACCAGATATACACAATCCTCATCCACTTCCTTTATCAGTAACAAATACAAAAGTACCTGAAACACTACATTGAGTCCAATTCAATGGACCACAGCTAAATAATAACCAAACCCTAGATGGATGAACAAATAAAAACACAGTAGTCCCCTTCCAAGTAACCATTCTCGTCCAAAAACCAAAAAATTCAACTTTTATGAGTAACTAAATCATTTCACCAGAATTCGACATTGATAAGCAACTAATCATTTCTTGTAAAGAAAAGAATCCAACTTTCATGAGCAACTAAATCATCCCATCTAAAACAAAGAATTCATGTTAGCTCAGTAACAAACCATTAAAAAACCAAGCACTTCAATCAAAAACTGAAGAATTCGATTTATAGATAGCCTAACGACTCCATCAAAAATAAAAAATTCAATTTCAATAAACAATCAAATTGTTTTTTCCATAACAGAGAACAATGCTACTTATAATACAAGCAACAGATTAAAGCCAATTATATAGTCACCTATCTATTGATAAACAAAAGCAAAAAAGACATCAATGACAGCAGGACGTCCTATTTGGTTCAAAACCACAATCTGCAAGAAACACACCTAATAAGCATAAACCCAATTATTTTGTGCTTTAAGAGTATAAACCCCCAAATTAAAAAAATTTACAGTTCTACAGAGATCACAAAATTCCAAGTTCTCATAACCCACAAATTTTAAAACTCTAATTCAATCACAATGGAGCCACAAATTAATTCAATCTATACCAAATTCACAATAAATAACTACTATGCTTGAGAATAAACCCTAACAAAAAATCAGGTGTCAATCTAAATATCAAAAATCAACCCACATACCTTCACTCTGTGAAATGGTTTCAAAATCTAATAAATGTTGTCTGTCAAAGACGTACCGTGTTGAAAATCAAAATATATGAACTATCTGCTATTCGTTACCAATGAGAGATCAAATAGGCACACAAAAGCACTCACATAGCAAGAACACTAAACCAAAGACCAAAAACGTTAAAAACAGGAAAGACAAAGTTTAAATTTACTGTCGTGCTGGTTTCGGATGTTCAACATCCGAATATTCCATAAATTCGGATGTTGAACATCCGAAAAAACCAAATTGACTGTTTTAACTTGTGCCCATTTTCGGATGTTGAACATCCGAAAAGCCCTCAAATTCGGATGTTCAACATCCGAAAAAGGGTAAAGTTATCTTTTTTAAAAATAGCGTTATAGAAGATAAAAATCGGACACGACTGTAATAACGGAAAGTATTTGATATATCCGTAATAACGCAAAGTATAATAGATTTTTAATTACTTTTCTCTAATTTTTATGAAAAAGAAAACCTTAGCTTGTTTGATGGCTTTTTTGGGAGTTAGACCTCTATGCTTGCCATCGAGAGCAAAAGCTCAAGGGACAATATACACACAATATGTGTAATTCAAAGTTTGTTTAGATGACAATTAACTTTGACTGGAATAGACTATCTTGTCTAGGGGTGGCCATGAATCTAGACCCAACCCGGGACCTGGCGTCCGGACCTAGCCTGTATCTGGGTCCAAGAGGCAGGTCGGGTTTGAGTCCAAATATTGGACCTGAACATAATTTGGGTCCGGGTCTAGGTCCATGTGGACCGACCCTAATAATAATATTATATAAATAATATTTAATATACAATATTTTAATAATGTTTTAATTAATATTGAAATAAATATAATTATATATTTTTTGTTATATTTATTTAAATAATATGTGTATATATTTGACATAACATTTAAATATATTTAAATATATGTTTTTAATTTTTGGGTCAGGTCTGGTTCTAGGCCAGTCGGGTTCAGGTTTGGTTCCAATAACTTAGGGTCCTGGTCAGGATCTGGATCCCATAATCTTTTTCGGGTCTAGGTCCGTCTCCGACCCGACCTATTGCCAACTTTAATCTTATCAAAAATTAATGTATTATAGAGAATATTGTTCCATTGGCTATTTAATATGTTCTTGCATTATACATAATATTATTTAATTATTTAACTTTTAATGATTTTTAGTCATTCTTATTTATTTATGGGCCATTCTTAGTTATTCTTGGCTCAAACAGTTTACTTAGAATAAAGTAAAATTAGATTTTTTTAAAAAATAAACTTATGTTTAAAGCTACCTATAAGTTTATTTCAAAATAACTTTATGATTGACATTGCCAAACAACATCTAGCATTATCATGATTATTTTTATGTAAATAGTAAATGATCAATATGAACAACTATACCCAAACGTCCTACATAAATAAAGTGTTTTATTAATCAGAGATCATATGATTATTGGATGATCAGATCTATGTATTTAGGAACAAAAAACTCAACTTTTTTCTTTTTTTGATTAAATTACTCATGTGGTGACTAGTGGGCTCTCACCAAACCTATTGTCCAATTCCACTTGTTTTGATCACAGAATTTATCTAGTCAAAACAAGCTACTAGACTAACAAGTTAAATAATCATTAGTTGCCTAAATAATTGTCCAAGGGATCTTGACCCAATTACTAAGACATTAGTTACCAAGGAAAACAACCAAAAGTTTGAATCCCAAATAATCAAACCCCAAAAAACAAGAAGATAACATAGAGGAAATATGGATGCCTAGTTAAACCCTCAATGTTCCAATTTTCTATACCAAAGCGCCTTCACCAAACCTATTCTCCAATACCACGTATAGAAAACACATGGTTTCTCTAGTCAATACAAGCTTCTAGACTAACAAGTTCAACAATCATTAGTTGCCAAGGAAAATGTCCAAGGTGAACTTGGTCAAAATATGAAAAGGTTCAAAATTTTGAATTCAAATAATAGACTGATGCATATAAAAACTTAAGTTATTTAAAAATTTTAATTTTATTCTTTATGTGTTATTTTTTTTTAGAATTTAGAATAGTGAGTTTTAGATTTTTGAATAACTTAATGTGTTTTTATGACACATTTAGAATAGTGCGTTTTAGACCCTGTATATTGGGAAATGTTTTTTTTTTAGGAAGAGTCCGTTTTTATTTTTTAGGTACGTGCGATAGGAGTTTATTATTGTGTTTAGTTAGGAAAGTTTATCTTTTGCAAAAATATGTAGTTGGGAAGTTTGTCTTTTGAGAAAACAAGTAAGGTTTAGAAGGAGAGAGGAAAAAATAATATCGAATATATAGAGAGAGACATAGGCGAGAGAGTGTTAGGTATCCACTAGGGAATTAATGTTCTCTTTTCCTGTGTTTTATAAACCTATCATACGTGTGGCTTTGAAAACTCCAATCTTTTTTTTTTTTTTAATAGATATTATTCATTTGGTTTGTGAATAATTTCATCTTTTTGCTGTCTTAGAGAATATTTTTCTTATCTATCATTACATGGTGAGTCAATTTTATTTTTCAAATTTCTGATTGAAAAAGGGAAAATTTTCAAAATAAATTTTACCCATTTTGGACAATTCCCATTGATGATCATATGATGAGCAAAATATTAAATAGTCATCTCTTACATGCAACTTGATGAATGTCCCTCGGGAAATTATAAAAAATATATTTTAATTTTTGGATTATTAAAAATAAACTCCAAATTTTACAAACCCTTATTCATACTTTTTTTTAAGTGAGTTGACACAAATAGCCTTCATGGTAGTTTTAGAACTGTGAATGCATCACGGTAGACACACTACCATGATGCTCATTGACGATTGAATGTTTTGAGACATCACGACACTTAAACAACTATGATGGTCGTTAAGAGGCATCACGGCAAATAAAAATCCGTAATGGTCATTAAGGGTTATTATGTCCCCATGACGAAGAAAATACAGAGCTCTTAACGACCATAACGGCTGTTTAAGTGTCGTGATGCCTCAAAACATTCAACCACTCATGACCATCACAGTAGTGCGTACCATGATGTCTTTATGGTTCTAAGACTACCGTGAATGCTATTTTGGTAAAAAAAGTTGTAAAAATTGAAAAAAGAGGTATACATGATGTTTTGAAAAGTTTAAGGCTTATTTCCTGTAATCCAAAAAATGAGGTGTATTTTTTTATAATTTTCCTATTATCTACTCTCCTTTATCATTCTACCTAGAAAGTTGCAATCAACTCCCGCGGGAGTATCTTGTACATGTCAAAAAAAATGTATCTGATTGATCCACCCAAAGGTGCTTTTCAAATCATATACGTAGAAATTCCTATGTATGCATAGAAATCTCTCTAATTGACGAGCTTCCCAAGCTTTATCTCGTCTTTCTTATCAATTCCTAGCAACCACAAGAAAACTATCCTTGCTCTCTTCCCATTGAATAAATAAATAAGAAAAAAGTTTATATAAGGGTGACGCCCTAAACAATCCAATCAAAGTGTACCTCAAAAATTCATTAGAAGATGTTGTTTCGACGCTTAAAAATCATTTCGACCTCAAGATGTAGGGATATGAGAAAAAAAAAAAGATATTAAGTTTTTGAAATAATGTATCTTGCAATGCATATTCTAAACCATTAATTTTCATGAGTATTCAAGTGTTTATAGATTTGCTTGATCTTTTTAAGCTTTAAGTTTTATAATTAAAGAATAAAATAAACTTTAAAGCTATCAAAAAAATTTCCAGACCTGAAAATACATCTTTTAACACTAGTTGAAAGTGTGCTTTATTTTGATTGTATAAGGCTGCTTTTTTAAGCTTTAAGTTTTATAATTAAAGAAAAAAATAAATTTTAAAGCCATCAAAAAAATTTCCAGTGAAAATACATCTTTTAACACTATTTGAAAGAGCGCTTTATTTTGATTGTTTAAGGCCAGTCTTATACAAACCACACCCAATAAATAAATCCCAAGAGATTCCCTACTCTCTTAGGAGTATATTATTCATTTACTCTTGTCCAAGCATACTTGACTTTAGAATCACATAAAATCCAATGCGTTCAACAATTACTTAAATATAGAATTGTTGATCAAATCCGATGCTAATGCAGAATTGTCGATCAAATCCAGTGCATTGGTGTATCTGATAGAATAGAGTGCATCACATTTTACAAGAGCTTAATTTTAGAGTTGTTGATTGGATCCGGTGCATTAGTACTAATACGAATACATTACGATACATGTATCACAATATACAATCTTTAGTAAACGAAAAAAACACCATTATTAAGCCAAGTTCTCATCACCCTTAATTAAACTTAGCCTCCTAATCTCCTTCACCAACTCATCTACTCCCTTGTCTCCGTCCTCCTTAATCTTCTCAGCCAATCTCCTTGCTCTCTCTCTCACCAACTCCCCTTCTCTCTCTAAAACCACCATTTTCAAAGCCTTGGCCACCTTCTCTCCCTTGAATCCACCATCACTCTCTCTCTCCACCTCCACCCCCACCCGAACCTCTCTTGTCATCACCCTTGAATTGAAGGGCTGATCTAGCTGCAGCGGCAACGTGATCAACGGAGATTCGAGCCCCAAGCTCTCCATACACGACCCCCATCCACAATGGGTCAAGAACCCTCCGATTGCCACATGTCGCAAGATCTCTCCCTGAGGGGCCCATCCCACCACGAGCCCCCTCTCCTTCACCCTCTCTATAAACCCCAAAGGCAAAACCTCATTAATTTCCTTAATCACCTCATTAGGGCTAACCCTAATCACCCATATAAAAGGTAGGTTAGAGAGCTCAAGCCCTAATGCAATCTCCTTAATCTCATCTTCACTCATAAAATATTCACTTCCAAATGACGTAAACACCACCGATTTTTCCGGCCGTGCGTCGAGCCACTGCCGGAAAAACTCGTCGGTGGTGGCCGGAGTGCGGCTGGAGACAAGAGGCCCCACAGGGATCACGCGCTTTCCGGCAAGGGCAGAAAGGTAATTTATGAACTTCCCCTCTATGTCATGCATGGACCTGCATGTGAGAAAGTCTGTTGACTGCTCAACGCAGGACTTGTACCTCTCTAAGTCTCTCATGCCAAAGGTTTGTTGCTCTAACATGGGTTGAATCCTTTGGGACTCATGGGGGTGCAACTCCATGGTTTCAAAGGGGAATTCATTGGGTTTTTTGCCTAAGACCAGGTGGTAGAGAAAGCTTGAGCAAGAAACACTGAAGGTTAGAAAGACAGAGGATGGGATTTTGAGCTCAAGGGCAGCTTCTGGTGCCCATGGTTGAATGAAATCATGGAGTAAGAAGTTGGGTTTTAGAGAGCGAAGGAGGTCTTTGAACTGGTTTTGTGAGAGATGAAAGGCTCTTTTGAGGTGGGGCATGAGATGGGGTGGCAGGTCTTTGGTGGTTTGATGGTGAGGAGAGAGGCCTGCAACTTGGGGTAATGAGATTTCAGCAGTTTTGATCGAAGAGTGGGTTTCTCGGAGCTGGTCTTTGATGGAGGTGAGGTTTGAGGCGGTTGAGCAGATGGTGACTGTGATTTCTCTCTCTACAAGCTTTTTGGCGAGCTCGAAGAAGGGGGTTATGTGGCCGTGGGCTAGCCATGGGAACATTAGGACGTGGAGCTCCTCATTCTCTTCCATGGAACCCATGTAACAGAGGTCGAGGTTCTAAACAAAAGTCTGTCTCTACTGGTGAAATTGCGAAGAAGTGGAGAGAGACCAAGACGGAGAGAGAGAGAAACAACTTTTCAAGAGAGAGATGGGGAGAGAGGAAAAACTGTTCAAGTGAGAGAGGGAGATTGTGTCTCGAGTGCAGGGGAGAAGAGAGGATTAAGATAAGGCTCAAGCCCCCTGGGAAGCAAGTCTTTTTATAGAGGTTTCAGGCAAGAGAGAAGAGAAAGGAAAGGTTGGCACGCCTTTTGTTTAGAGAGGACAATATAGCGGGAAACAGTGTCCGATTGGGCGAGCCGGCCTTGGGCCGATTACCCGGTCCTCATTGGGTTAAATAGGATTAAAAAAATATTATTTTTTTAAAATATGAAAAGTATATCTAAAGAATAATTTAAAAAGATTAATGATCTTATGAAACCGTCACATCACAGACTCATATGTGTAGGACCTCAAGTGATCACCATTAAATTTGGTACAGATATCTAGAAAAGTTATTACATGGATGTGAGACTTACTTTTCTAAATATATGTGCCAAATTTAATGACGATCATTTGGGGTCCTACACACATGCTTATGTGAATTACTCATTTAAAAATTGCATATAAATTGTGAAGTTATAAAAACGTGCATTTTTTTTACATACAATATTTTATTTTATTTTACATATAACTACATTTGGAAGGTAGTTCATTACATATGTTACAAGATGTGTTCATTACGTATGTTATTGTTTTTTAGGGAAAAAGTTGGACGCTACCGTATAATGCAGAACTCTGGATGCTCCTCAAAAATCCATCGAAAAAGGTATTTTTAATGTTGAAAAACCCTTTGATTGATCATCTCGACATCCAGATGTATGACTATGAAACATTAAAAGATTTTAAGTCTCAAAAATAGTGCATTTTACAACATATTATCTACACCATCCATTTTCAAGATTTTCATATGTTTATAGATCTACTTGATTTTAACCATTTTTAAAATTTTAAATTTTATAATTAAATATAAAAATAGATTTTGAGATAATCCTAATAACATTTTACGTCAAAATTATATACCATGATAAAATTTGAAGGGCACCGTACCTCTACACCTATGGAGGCATCCGTATGCCAACGACACAATTTTTTTAGTAGTACAATGTTTTGTAACCCTATAAATTAGAGGCTTCCCACATGATATTTTTTAGATTAAAAATAATAAAAAATAGATTTTAAACAATCAATTTGTGCTCAATGACATTTTAAAAATAATCTAAAAAAGGATGAAAAAAATATAAAAATAAGTATTTATCATCAAAATGCTTTCCAATTTTTTCAAAATCGATAGGAAACATCAAAAAACTTCTTACCAATAAGTTTCTTATTTTTTTGGAGTTCTATATATTTTTATTTTTTAAAAAAATTGAGGTGGTCAAGCTCTTGATCACCCTAACTATAAGTCAAGCCGGTCCCCGGCCAGTCGCTCATTCCGAGTAACCCAGCCGGTACCGGTCCAACCCGGCCGGGCTGTCAACACTGACCGGAAACGTGTGTTTGTGAGACGTAATTAGAGAGAGAGAGAGATGCAGCCGGTGAAAAGAATGATGGAAGCAATTGTCGTTTTGCAGGAGAGAGGTTAAAGAGACGACGAAATCGGTTAGAGAGAGAGACAGAGAGAAGGAGGTGGCAAGTTAGAGAGAGAAACAGCAAAGAAGGATGAGGTAACAAATGACGCTTTAAGAGAGAAAGGGAAAGTAAATTTGGGCCTCTTCAACTTTCAATAATGGGCATGTGTGAAAACTAAAAATAGAGAGAAAGAGAAATTGAAGTTGGATACCATCAACTTTCAATAATGGACATGTATGAAAACTAAAAGGGAAAGGTTTCTATGCTTCCTCTAGAGCATAGAAGTTATATCCTCCCTTTACCATCGAGCAGTTCAATTTTGAGTAAGAGAGTTACTCACCGTTTTATCTTAGATCCGATGTTTCAAATTATTTTAATTTTAGTTTTTTTATACAAATTGTATGAATATGAAATTTGGTATATGACATTTTTTTATTGGGGTGCACCTATAAAAAATATTAAAAATAATTTTTCGATAAAAAATAATGGCCAAAATACCCCTTGAAACTTTCAAAGTGTTATTTTATTTTATTGAAAATATTTTTTTATTTTTTTTTACTAGTGTGAGTTTAATAGAGGAATTGACGTCCAAAATTTGGTATCAAAATAGTTTATAAAAAAAATAGTGTAGAGAAGTGATATTGTGATTGGAGCAATCTTAATCCTCCATTCAGAATAGACAGTTAGATAAATGAGAGGATAGAACTTCTATGCTGTAGAGAAAGCTTCCCCGACTAAAAAAAAAAATACAGAGAGAGGAAAATTAAATTTGGGCACCTTCAACTTTTCAATAATGGACATGTAGGAAAACTAAAAATAGGATGCTTACATTTCTTCGGACCATCTATTTGAATTTTGCCAAAATTTAGTAAGTAGAATTCAATACAAAAGCTTAAACAGAAGTCCGGACTGTTTGGCTAGGACACAACACCCGCACTTTATGTGGACCCAAGGCTAGGTCGTCAAGTAGATGGGGCATTATTATGTTACCTATTAAGTTCTATTCTTATCACGGGCAAGAGAATGTAGTATTTTTTCTTCTATTTTGAAAATTTAAGAAAAGTTCTCATTTTATTATCGTAACTTGTCTCTTATATTTTGTATTTTACTTTCAAATCTCGCTCTTTAGAGTTCATATTTTATTTAAATTTTCTCTATATATAGGATAAAAGCCAAATTCGGATAGTCTATATTTCTCACTATCTTATAACTATAAAAAATAAAAAAATAATTTGAAAAGCAAATTTATCAAAATACCCATACAACTTGTAAGCTTATTTGGTCATGTTATTTCCTTCACCTTTTAAATTTTTATTTTATTTTTTTATCTTATGTAAAGAAAAAAAATTAAATACAATATAAACTCTCAAAAATTGGATTTGAATGTGCAATATTAATGATGAAAAACTACTTTTAAATTCCAATAAAAAATTTAATTTTTCTAAAAACTTTATTTTTTTATTTGAAGATTATTAACTTGAAGTTTCGAGCTACCAGTTGTGATTGGCAGTAATTGCAAGCTTTGGCAAAAATTCTCCCAACTTTCAGCATATAGGTATACATTATCGCTTCAAAGAAAAGGGTTCTTTGATTTCTTTCTTTCCATATGACCCATGTAGCTATAAGCTCTCCGGAGCTTATATAGGGTCTTGTTATGGAACATTTTTTGGTACCAACTGCCGATAGAGCAGGGTTTCCGAACTCGGCCGGTCCAACTCGGAACCGGCTGATCAAATTAGAACTGGGGCACTAGTTGATTCTATTTTGGCTAGTTTTTGTGGTTCAATTGTGTATTTTTTTAAAAAATAAATACAAAATCCCAAAAAATAGGAACTTCGTTTGTAATATATGTTTTTGAATGTTTTTTTATCATTTTGGTATGGATTAGAAAGTTTCATGAATGCTTATTTTTATATTTTATAAAATTTAAAAAATACCCTTAGGTACAAATTGATTTTTTTAAAAAGATTGTATACAATGAGACCATTTACCTTTGGAATAAGGAGGTCACAATCACTTGCAACCTTCCGATATGAAATCTGATAGCTTGGATGTGTCACAAAGTTTGAAAAAAATTATTTTGAACTTTGAACATGGTCAATGAAATAAATGCAAGCACCCAATTTCACATCCAATGGTCAAGATTTATAGTGACCACCTTGTAGCAAAGGTAAATAGTCTTATTATATACTTTCTCTTTTAAAATTCATTTTTTTCACTATTTTTTTACTTCATTTGGATGTGCTTTATTTAATCATGCTTTAAATATCATTTTGATATTTTTTTAAAAAATTAATTTTATGTATTTATTTTTAACACTTTTTGGAACGGTCCGGACCTATGCAAGGCCAGTTGAACCGACCAGTTTGCCGGTTACTCGGGCCTAGCCATTGGGCGGTTTCCACAGCCTGATCGGTTTTTCGCAATAGAGAAAAAAAGATGGTCATGATCTTCGATGTTGACCCTAAAAACAGCAATTGCAACCATGGAAACCCAATTTTCACATTTTATCGGCAGTTAGAAAGCTTTCTTGATAGGCTAACCATGCGAAGCACAAGGCTCTAGGGTGCATTGATTTTATCCAACATAACTTTCGAGTTTTCTATTTTGAACAATTGTTTGATGCCGGCTGGAACGCATTTGCACAATGCACGGTCCAGATGTATAAAACATCCATCTTAAAGATGGATGCAAATAAGTGGTTCATCTAAAACATTTAAAATTAATGTTTTAAATGTTTTTTTAATATTATTTTTAGGTTTCAAAATTTATTTATTTTTACATATTCATGATCTCCATGTTAAAGATTATATATTATCTACAAATTAAAATCAAATTATATTTCAAAAATAAATTTATTAAGGGACCCGTATTTCTACATGTGCGGGCTTGACCGCATGCTAACCGCGTTCTTTTTATTTTTGGCGTCGTTATGCACCACGAGAGTCTATCTTCATCTCCACTTTGAGTTGGAGGGATTGAGAAATGGTTATGGATCTTCCAAGCACCAAATCCCTTATAATTTCTTCTCTAAACCTTTCCTACAAGCACCCCTTATTTTGCCATCAAACCCAAAATCAACATTAGAACAACATCACCAATGTGCCATTGACTATTTTCCTTCATTCTATCATCTCTCTTTTGATGGTTATTTTGCTTCTTAGGGGTGAGGATTTACCCAATTTGGATCCGAAACTCGAATTTTGAAATTTATTTGGATTTGGGTATGGATCGGATCTAGATCCAAAATTTGGATCCGAATGATAATTCGGATCTGATCTGGGTACCGGTGGATCTAATCCAGATCTGACTAAGTTATT